TCTCTTCAACCGACTTTTCTGTCTTCTCCAATTCAAATAATTCTTTCAGACGTGAATATCTCACCAGCTATCTTAATTTCTGTTTTGATGTGTGTTGCCCGATCGAGACAGTATATATATATCCGTACCGACAGATTCTCATCGCCTCTCCTAAAACGCCTTCGACGAAATAAGGAGAAGGCATATACGAATGGCAGGCGCTACGATGTTAAACGACTCTTGATTATCATCAAGGCAGAGATTCAGCACTTGAATCGAATTCATGTTGAAACCATTCTGGGCAACCAGGGCTATCGCAAGATGTGGTCGGCGTTGAAGCAACTCTGTGGCACACGTGGGAGCTCCTGTCCTGATGTAGAAGAATTAAACCGACAATTTTCTGCCTCCACTGGGTCCAATTCTCTACCGTCCGTTTTCAATTCTTCAGAAATCACCAACCCTGTTTCTCCAACCGAAGTTCTCAAAGTTTTGAAGCAACTTAAGTCAAACAAGGCCCACGGACTGGACTCATTACTCCCTATTTTATTATAAACCTGTGCCGAGCACCTTGTAACACCCGTCGCTGAGTTGTTTAATTTGTGTCCTCTGGAACAATCCCTGATTGCTGGAGGGCTACCCGGATGAGACCCATTCCCAAGAAGGGTTCTTCAAAATATCGACCGATTGAAGGTCTTTAAAAGAGTGCTATTGAACAGTTTGACTAACCTCTCTGATGTTTTTGAACCTCTTCAGTTTTCTTATAAGAAATCTTTTTCGACTGTTGACGATGTGGCGTATGTTGTCCATTCTGTGGCCTCAGTTCTTGATACAAGTGTTGGAACTGTTCACCTTATTTTTCATGCCTACGCCAACGCCTTTGGTTCGCTTGACCGTCGTATCCTCATTCAACGTCTTGCTGACTGCGGCTTAGGTTCCGACGTATTATACGTTCTTGTCAACTACTTCTATTCTAGGACAGAATTTACCTCATGCAGTGGTGAAACTTCGTCCTCTTCTTCTGTTAACTATGGTGTCTTCCAGGGCGCCATTTTGTCTCCCTTCGTTTTTTCCCTGTACATAAACTACCTGCCTGTCCCCACCAAATGTATTGCCTGTAAGTATGCCGACGATGTGGTGAGTAGGTGCCCCTCCAATACTAATGCTTCTTTCCGTCAACTTCAAAGCAGCCTGAATAACATTTTTAGTTGGTCTTTACCCCGATCGCTTTTGCCTAATGTTTCCAAATGTGTCGACGTTCCCTTCAGCCTTAAATCTGGCTCCTGCTTTCAAACTACCTGTATTAATTTACCGAATCTGGTAGTTACCAGTCACAGCATTCCCAAAGTTGACTCTGTTAAATACCTCGGAGTCTTTTTATCCCAGAACCTCTCTTGGACCTTACATGTAGAGAACGTTAACAACAAGATTCGTAAACTCTTCTTGTATGCTCTCAGACTTAGGAAGCTTTCTATTCCCCCAAACGTAATTTTAAAATTCGTGGCAGCATGCATCCTCCCCTAGTGGCCCTACTGTTCTCCTGTATTTTTTTCCCGGCTTAAAAGAAGAAGATTTCGTATTAATTTCCGGGTCTATTACACTTCTTTCTCGATGTAGCGGCATAGCCAGAGAAGTTCTGGTTGATTTTATTGTGTGCAAACATATCGACGCATGTGAAAGAATAGCTGACAGAATCTTGAACAACGAACACCACTGCTTGCACAAAGAACATGTCAAACCCCCGTACCCGCTATCGTTATAGGCTGCTTCCCGCACGCACCGTCGCATACACAAACAGCATCCTCCCTTTTCTTGCTCGCTTTCTAGTAAATCGGGCACCTATTATTACAGGTTTGGTTGAACACCTCATGAGTTAGTTTATTTATTTCTTTTTTTAACCGTCACTATCGTCTTCTTGCGTTCAGTTTTCTGTCGTTTTTTTATTTTTTAAATTAACCTATTCACACTCGGAGGACATTCACCTCAGCTCCACTGTATCATCGTGAAAAATCGTGGAAAATTCACCCTACGGGTGCATAAAGCTTACTTTGACTTGACTTAACTTGACTTGAGAACATTAACCTTTCGAGTTTTCCTTGCATAGAACTCGGATATCGGGGCTTCTTCCGGGTGACTGAGTGGCTGGTGAACTTATCAACGTCCCATAGACAGGTGATATGAACCGGAATGCCGAATGGATCACATCATTCCGGAGATCACGTCTCACCGAACTGTCTTGGAGGAACATTACATTTGAATCGAGATGCTAAATTACTTCAGCACACAGTTAGATAACGAATTAGCTAACAAACTGGACGATAATGAATGCGGATTGATCTCCTTGGAAGTACCGGATGCTTTTTTTTGTTCTCATAGACTTTGAGAACACTAACACACTCTTTGACATCCATTCTGATGATTCCATATGTGCATGTAATTGTTTCAAACTGTACACATTAATTATTATGTACTTTTCCGGGAGCCTACAACGAATGAATGAATGGATGACTGAGTTCGACAATCGGAAACCATCTAATCACTGCGGGGGAAAATAGCAATTGACTTGAAATCTTATTCTATCCTCACACTGCTCATATGCTAATTATCTTCAGGAAAAGTACGTGACCTCATTTGAATGAAAGAACAAACGGCTGTGCATTGGGCAATTCGTCACGTGACGTAAGGACCCGCGTACAACCAGATAATAAGGGCGTGATGAGGCCACATGAATCTATCTAATATTTTACTTTAATTCCCATAGTCAGAGAGTGTGATTTTGTAGAGGTCTGAAGCAATCCGACTCAGTTTTCTGACAAACATGACGTACAAATACGCTTCCCATTCACTCGGTTTGTTTACTGAGTACTTAATTATATCAAAATTCTGATGAGAGATTTGATGATAAATGTGATATTATATTTTTGAACCTAGTGTATCCTGAGGCACATGTATGACACACACAACACCCCGCACTTTTATGAATTGTTTCCGCATGACAGAATGTGAACCAT